AATGTTTGAATTATATTTCTTGCCAAGAACATCAATAAAAAAATTAGAATAAATGAATGAGACAAATATAAATTATTATAGTGTTATTACGTAGTTTGAATGAACATTAACTTTACCCAAGTTTTTTCCTGATTTAAAGGACATGMATTAGTTACCAAAAACTTAATAATGCATAAATAATAATATTGTGAAAATACATCTTCCTTTARTGCTTCATTTTAAGTTTTAGGTAAGTAAGTAAAATTTGTTTATAGAGCACATATAACATCTAGGCTACATTCACACTTCAGGCAAACGTGACCCATATCTGATTTTTAAATATTTTTGTTTTTTTATGACAGTCTGAACATAACAAATCATTTTATTTCTTTCAAATCTGACCCAGGTCCTTTTAGTGGTCCTAAATTGGATCTGATAGTTTGTTAAAGCAACTTCTGTCTGAATGGTTGTATCACATGTTATCCATCACTTTTATGTCATTAAAGCAGGGGGATATGGATCAATTTAAATATTGATATTATCGATACATCATGAAGTTTAAAGTGCCCGTGACAATAATTTTTAAAATAATTATAAAGGCGTTTTTTTGAAAGATAACATTAAGAACATATTGCAAAAATAATTTACCCCTGCTGAGATGAACAGTTGTTGAGATATTTGCTTGTGAATTAACAGGAAGTGATGTCAAAGGGGAATGTCTGCACGGAACAGAGCATTGATAAAATGGCTAAGGACACAGACTGTAGAGAAGAATCTGATTTTTCTTTAGATTATTTTGAGTCACRATCAGAGAGAGATGAAGACGAGTCAGAGTTCAAACAATATTGTTAATAAACAAAGACTAGAGAGTTTTCTTTCTTATAGAGTTCCCCTTTGATGTCACTTCCTGTTTCAATTTGGCTGAGCCAAGTTCAAAAGAAAATATGCCATTTATGTGATAAAAATGGGTAAAATCGTGTTTTATACAAGGTTTCTTATATAAAAATGTGTCTTCTTTGACGTTTTGTATTCGATGGATAGACATGTCACAGGCACTTTAAAGCTTGGAACTCTGCATGTCTTCAGCGCAGAATAGATCACGACTAGCATGATGGATCTGGTACTTGAGTTTGTTTCCACTTTCATTCCAGAAGTGCAATTATGAGCCAGAGTTTGTGGAAAGCAAGAAGATCAAATATAAACCTTGGACGAAACAAGTCAAATAATAATTTGGTTGTCTCTGATTGCACATTAGCTTCAGACTCGATCAAAACATGCTAACGTGCAGCATCCATTTTTACTTTTGTAACACAAGCTGCAAGTGACATCACATCTTCTTCCACGGGTCACATTAGGGCGTCATGTTAATGTTCATTGCCTCTTAATTGCAAATTAAAATCCACATTGTTCCGTCTGTAGCCACAGTCGACAGCAAATCCAAAACTCTTTGCCACAAGACGAGGATGTAAACCTACATGGTGCATCAAAAACCAGACCGGTGACTTTGGTAACTTGTAGCACAAACACAAACTCACTTGTTACGGTTTTTGCAGTCTCCACGTGGCATCCCCTTTTCCCTGTATACATGATGAAGTAGCACATCAAGCAAAGTGTAGCCTACGGCAGCCACAGAGCCCAGACTCCACTGCTGGGATCTCCTCACAGCTCGTATAGATGGGAGTTTCCACATAAAAAAAATAATAAAAATGTAACTTCAAATGCTTATGTGCTAACTCAATTTTTCAACAAGAGGGCAAAAACTCAACAAGGAATAATAATGGCAGCTGTATATATAAATAAAAAAATAAAAAAGAAGACAAAAAGAAGGTTGTAAAAGAAGCAACCAGACAGACAATTAACAGATAGAAAGAAAATAAAGCAGGGGAATAAGGGACAGACAATGTGAGACAGTGAGTGTGTAAATAGAGCCTAAATGTGCGGTAGGAATGAAATTCGCCTTGGGATCGCCTCGGTAAACAAGGCAGCCGAGGCTTTGGTGGAGATGCTAATAAAACAGAGCTGTTCTTATCAGCTGAGCAGATGGCCTAACCCATCACGTCTACTCAAACAGGGGCCTGAGCCATCAGCATTCTAATGAAATTATTTATGATCGAAGATTACATTCAAAACCTTGAGCACACAACACTGCGACTACCTGCCTTTAAAAAAAAGAGAAAAAAAAGATGGAAGCAGGCGGGGAAAAGAGGAGGTTTACGATCAGAGGGAGAGACAACCAGAAAGGGTAGATAGAGCGATGGGGGGATTATATGAGAGGGAATATATAGAGTGTTTATGGGCACAAACGATGAGGAGAAAAAAAAACCACACACACAAAAAGAGAGAAAGGATGGAGAGGACAGAAACACTTCGGTGTGCTTTGTTGGTGAGTGGAGGGGGGGGGGGTCACCGGGGAGAGAGGAAGGACAGGCAAACAAACGATGCTCTGAGTGGAAAAGTATAYCTGGTGGATTGTTTTAGAGGGCATGTTGCCCCTGTGGATCGACCCTGCTCTGCAACCCCCCCACTCCCACCCGTCTGACCCCTCTGCCCTGGCTTACACCCTGGGCTGCTCCCCTGACGGTGGGGTTGCTTAGCCGGCTTAGTCCAGGTCAGGCACCTTGACCAAGGGCACAGCCGTCGCCCGCCCCCCTGGTTCCTACAGGTATCTTTTTTTAATTCTACTCACCTGGTCTTCAGGGAATAAATCTGTTGGATGAGTGGGAAAGAAAAGAAGGAAGGAATGGATGGAGAGACGAAGAATGAAGATGGATCAGCAGGAGGATACGGAGGGGAAAAAAAGGATAAAGAAGTAAAAGCGGTGGCCAGCAGCAGCAGCAGCAGAAGAAGAAAAAGGATAAATAGGGTAAAGAGAAGGGAGGAAGGATGGGAGATCAAGAGAGGAGAGAATTGATCTGCGAATGGTTAGTATGCAGCCCCCTCTCCCCCTCCCCTCCTCCTCCTCCCTCCTTCTCTCCTCTCCCATCAGTCAGTGAGGGCTGAGAGTGTGTTGTGGACCACTGCCCGGATGCCTCATACATATTAAAGCCCCCTGCTATTATTTATATCATGTCTCTGCTTCCCCTGCTCACTGCCCCTCATCCCCCCCACACCGCCATACATACATACACCTCTACACACACACACACACACACACACACACACACACACACACACACACACACACA